CAGTGAATATTGGGATGGTGTTGATTATGCCGACGTCCTTAATTTGCAGAACCTCCAACTTGAAGGTGAGGCGCCTTAACTTTGACCAGTTATCTCGTACTCGGAACTTCATTAAGCGCGAATCTCAAGTGTTGGATTGTGCGATCATTCATCGTCCAATGTCGGACGCGCTACTTGCTTCAATGAGGAATTTATTGCGTCAGTGGGAGGAGCGATTCACAAATCCCGCGCCCGAAAGAAAACTCACCTCTTGATCTTTAAATTGACACGATGCACATGAGACCTCTTGAGTATACAGCACCATGGGTTATCTGTGCTGGTCCGGAAAAGTGGTGTGCCAAACCATCGTGAGAAAAAACGCATAAGATCGAGAATTATACCGTATTACGCAGCTGTGCTCACTCTTGTCACCCTAAATTGATTACACGTTGTCCTCCGCAGTGTTTCCAATGACCGTGCTTTCTACACAATCGATAGAGACATTCGCCTTGCTCACAGAATGTCACTGCTGCAAGATCCCAAGGCGAACTTGGATTCTGACTGGAATCCGGGCGATTCTGGTGAAGTAACATCGGAGCGACAAGAGACCAAGTGAGTTGGGTATTCAGGTATTTGAGAATCAGTTTAACGTTTTCAGGTCATGGATAATCCCCAGCCATGCTCTTAGCGATTTGAACGAGTTTCTGAAAAACATCAGGCGGTATGGGCACCAAGCGTGGAAAGCCATGGATTTCGTTCCTGGGGGAACTGCGTCTTCGTTTATGGATATGATACAACACGTGCGTTTCTGAGAGTTTTACGAGTAGCAGTTACTCAACAGATCTTCATAGCATCTGAATAGTGCAGGCAGTCACGAAGACCGCAACCTCCGTAAAACTTGCATTCATTGCCTTCTCCGTCTGAACAAACGCCACTTTTCCCTACCACCTTCGCTCCATCTTGCGGATGTTGTGAAGGAGGGGTCACATCCAGCCGCTGGCGGCGGATTTGCTGTTAGGCACATCATCTCAAATTTTAGGATTACCGATCGTCTCACAGTTTCTTCTTAGGATATCTGGAAAGGGCGTCTCAAGGATGACCGACTGGTCTGCCTAAAGGTTTTACGGGTTTATACAGGGAACTTCGACAAGAACAAGCTGATGAAGGTGCGTACGTCTCGGTACATGGTCTCTGAAGGCCCGTACAAATGATATATCCAGCAATTGGGCAACGAGATCCTTATCTGGCGCCAACTTCGTCATCCAAATATCCATGAATTCCTCGGAGTCACAAGCGAGTTGTTCGAGCCAAGCTACTGCACCGTCTCACCTTGGATGGCGAATGGAGACGTGATGTCCTATTGTCGCGAGTGCAACTCAAGTCTCGACGTCAAGGTTGTGATGGTGCGGTATTATCAAGTCGGACCCAGCCTCTGGATAAAAGCTGATGGTCTTGTAGATACGAGAACTCTGTGATGGCCTACAATACCTCCATGAATACAACCCCCCGATAGTACACAGTGACATCAAAGGCGTACGTCAACCTTTGATCCTGACCTTCCAGAGCCTCACCGCTTCGTTTACCAATACAGATGAACATCCTTGTCTCTGACGATGGTCGCTGCCGAATCAGCGACTTCGGACTCTCTACGATTGAAAATGACTCGCCAGAAGGGCACGTCAGTGACAGCACGAGCCAGGCAGCAATGCGAGGTTCGATTCCGTGGCTCGCGCCAGAGTTGATGAATCCCGGTGGTGTCGAATCGCCAAATCGAACAACAAGGGATATATACGCACTAGGGTGCACTATGTACGAGGTGCGTTCAGTATCTTGGATTCCTGTGTTTTTCCATTCACAAGGCCCGAATGTTGTCATTAGATACTCGCTGGGACTCCGCCATTTACTGGGATGATAGACCCTCAAATCATTATTATGGTCTTGCGCTGCGGGCGGCCATCACGACCAGCGGGATGCCCTGACGAGCTCTGGACGACTATCGAGAACTGTTGGACCGAGGACTCTGGATCACGACCCGTTGCTTCCCAGGTGGCCTCTCTTTTGGTCAAAGTGACATTCCCTACTACACCCAAGCCCGTCATACAGCACCCCCAGACTGGTTTATCTGATTACAATGACCCGTGTCTCTCCAACATACAACAGGAGGACGACTCGAGCGACATGGTTGAAAGCGCTCAGCAGCACCCATATCATTCGCCGGGGCCGCATATGGAGTCCCTCTCCAAGAGTCGACCGCTCAACTTGAGAGTGTCGATAGCCTCAACCTCTTACTCGCATTCACCACAAGCATCCTTCCGGGCGACGCCCACACAGACAAACCGTTTTCGACAGACGAGTCCTGGCCCGGGTACGATGCTTTACAGTTTACCGCCGATGATGACACAAGGCTGCGATGAGAGCCAACATTCATCGTTGGATGTTACTGGACCATCACTTGCACGCCTACAGCCTCCATTGAGCAGAGTTAACCAAAGGGGGAAGACGTAAGCTACTTTACAACTCCTTCGGCTTTTTTCCCCCTTTCTGTTGAACTGATGGCTCCGATCCAGGTTCATCTCGAGGGGTGCCTGTTCACGCTGTAGGACCCTCGAAGTCCCATGCAGGTTCCTCAAAGCCCCATGTAGGTCCAAGACCAATACCACCACAGAATGATGCAAGCGGTGTGCGGACGGTCGTCATAACTGTGTGATGCCTAGAAGAAAGAACCGAGGACGATCGTGAGTCTATTTTTACTTTTTTTCTGGACCCGATTATTATACTCTCTGGCTCACGTTGCCCCCTCTTCCCCCCCCCAGGAGGAAACGTCACCGTCTTCTTGCTATAATACAGAAACAGGCGGAGGAGGCAGAGAGAATTGGCAAGCTCGACGCGGAGATCCTCCTCGACTCCGGCACGTTCGAGGTTCAGGCCTCTGTAATTCTCCGTAATGGAGAGGGTGAAGATGCGGAGGAGACTGGTCGTGATGATTACGAAGGAGGCATGGGAGACCGAGCTCTTACACAGAAAGAGAGTTACGTGGCCAGAAGGGAAACATTTCGAATGCCGCTAGATGATGATGTCGATGAATGGAGCTTAGGCAACTCCACTGCACCGCACCTGGACCCTATATGGGACGATACCTCCGTCCGAGACGCCTGGAAAGAATTCAGATCGAGAGTTGGCATGTCGGAACTCGTTGGTGTCCCATCTACGTTACTACTATAGAGGTATCAATGTCGTGGTTCGCTAGTCTGGCTGGCCCCCCCGTGTATCTATGTATGTATTTGCAAAGGCGTTACCGTTTACGCGAGTCTTTGGTGCATCCTCTCTCGCCGAGAAACGCAAGAATGATATGGGTCAGTACTAGGCTAATTCATTTGAGGACGGCGTGAGCATTGGATCATGGACGTTTGAACAACAGCTGTCGTTTTTTTTTTTTCGTCCCATTGTATAACGGTGTTATCAACGATAATATTCATTTGTGCACTGTGCGGAGAAGAACTTGGGAGAAAGAGTTTTGGTCCGTGGCACTACGTCTCGACTAGGTGTTTCGTGACTACGGGTTCGGTAGATGAAGTTGTTGGATGCTTCTGACTTCACCTTCAAGGCGCTATAGCCAAGACTGTGACCTATCTGTTTCTCTTTGAGGGCGCAGGTTCCGAATCCTGCTGGCAAGGTAGATTAAATATTTAGTGAAAGGACTACGTTATGGGAAGAGGGAAGTGGGTACCGAGGTATGATTCAGCATTCCTCTCCGAGCTCGCGGTATCTTCATTTCACAGATATAGGCCGAGCTATCGATATGTGTCCGAGACCAGGTGTTCCGACTTCCGACTTCCGAGTAAGAGATTACACACAGAAAAAGTCATAGCGAGCATAGGAGCGCTGCAAACCCTACATTTCCGCGGGCCGGCGGCCAGACAAAATGAACAAAAAGATTTTCATAGTGCGAGTGACTGCCTTCCTTCCGAGGAGGACAGAGTGGTTGGTTCAAACACCAGCCACCAGCGTGGGAACTTGAAGACTTTTCTTGCCGTTTCTCCTGTTTTCGGCGTTCTTAACCCGATATCCCCCAACTAGTAGAATCTGGAAGGATGTCAATTTGAAGATGACCGGTGACCGGTGATGAGGGAGGGAGGGTGTATTTGTTTCTTCAGGGTGACCTTGAATTTGGTGACTATTTTGATTTTTATTGGGATTTACGTCCTCCCTTAGAATGCAGCCTGCAGGGGAGTTGCTATAACAGCGTATCAGCCTGAGGATGAAATAAACTCATGGCATGGCCGGCGAGAACTGGACTTTACATGCTATGCTATGTCGAGAGTTGCTAGACTAGCACGGGAGATATTAAGGTAGATGGACGACGCTGCAAGCCCATATCACACTACTGAGCGGCCTTCAAGCACAATTCAAGAATGTGAGTCTTCGGTTTGGAACAAGGGTTGAATTACTACGGGAATAGTTCTGAACTAGTGTGATGTATCCTGTATTCCGAGATACTGGGCTGGGGTATTCGAAGAGCACAACGACTTCCCCCCCCCCTCCGACGACTCCGGCCTCAGGCCCAGGGAATAGTGAGTTGGTGTGTAGTTTTTCATGATAGAATGGTCCCCGCGCAGTATCACCCAAGGGTGGACAGGTGAGCGATGGGTGTGGGCCCACAAATTATGGGCATCTCCATGTCGAAGCTGGGGCCCATTCACCTTTCACCATGCCTTCGAAATTGCTAGCTAGTGCTCATGGGGCTGCCTGCCAAGGCAAATATCCCAGGTAGCATATCTCCCCTTGTCTTGTATCTGTGGTGGGAGTAGCGATGGAGGGGACTGGAGAATCATTCAACGGTTCATTGCTGAGGATGTCGGCGTCGGTATCGTGTACACTCTCTAATGGGGCATTGAAGAAGCTGTACTCGTTCGCGTTTTTAGTCGTTGTATTTTGTCGATGATGGTGGTAAGAGGATGAATGTGAAGGTCACGGGTTGGGATGGACATGGTACACGGGAGCGCCACATTCTCAACCTTTAAGGCGCTATAGCCAAGTGGTTACGGCGACAGATTAGAATGTCAACGTCCAGGTGATTGGATTGAGATCTATCTGTTCCTCTTTGAGGGCGCAGGTTCAAATCCTGCTGGCGTCGTCGAGGGGGATGTCGTAATTGTTTTTTCTGTTGGTTTTCGTTGAGCGTGTCTTTCGAAGTGTGGATCAGTAGTATTTCACCCCCCCAACATGGCTACGATTTTTCCGGGACCGATGGCGAAGGATTTGTGGGATTGTCATCGGCGTTTCATCTTTCGTTCAGAGGCCGGTCAGTTGAAGAAACAAAGGATATTGTTTTATACTAGTGTAAGTAACGAATAGAACACTATCATGAGTTTACAAAACGACAAGGTATTTGAACGAAACCAAGGAGAGCTCTAAGTAGGAGGTGGGGAGCGTCGAGGTTCGTCTCTTGCGAGAACGGACCAGCGGGGGAGTTAGGTGCACGGTGACAGCCCATCATAGACCTAACGACTTACAGCTTTCCTTAGTCTCGTTTGATTCTTTTACTTAGTTGGATTTCTGTTCGTAGTTATATTGGAATTTTTTATTGGGATGGTGGGTGGGTCGAAAACGCGAAATACGAGGGGTAACACGAGTATGAGACGACGAATTCTTTCGTTCGTCGAAGTCGAGGAGAGAGAAGCAACTGGTCACCTGACCACGTTGCTTCCCACGAAACCTCTTGCTCGGAGCCTCCGGTCCGTGCATGACCATTTCGTTCAGAGGCCGGTCAGTTGAAGAAACAAAGGATATTGTTTTATACTAGTGTAAGTAACAAATAGAACACTATCATGAGTTTACAAAACGACAAGGTATTTGAACGAAACCAAGGAGAGCTCTAAGTAGGAGGTGGGGAGCGTCGAGGTTCGTC